CTGGGCTTGTCGGAAATGCGCATAATTTGAATATTCATGGTTGATGGCACGAACTGATGCTGATATGATGTCGCGCAAAGCTGATCCGCCTGCCTATGCTATAAAACCTGCTCATCGGCGCTGCACGACAGCAGCATGCAAGTTTATTCAGAAATTTCGCTTTTTAGCTCAATTACTTGACTCTCTTATGACTGAAGTCCTCGATTTTTCCGCACTTAAACATTCGATTTCTTTATAGGTTCTGAGAATGAGGGGCTGAAAAATCAGCAAATGTCTCAAAAGAGAGGCCTATCAACTCCAAATGTCCCATCTGCTGTACGCTATCCGAACAATCGCCGAGCTTTGCGAACATAATCATCTTCGCGAGACCACTTGAGATATGTGCCACAAAGTTGGTACCGATCAGTCACCTAGTTGAACACCTTTTCGAGTTGTGTATTAATAAACCGTTCATATGCTTTTTTCAAAATGACTATCCACGCAAGAACAAAATATTCTATCGCCATGTTACCTCAAAAGTCAGGCAATCTAAACCATGCTTCTAACCGCTGATGATGATGGACACCACTGACAGCTTGCAAGGGATTGATTTCTTATTATATCGGAGTTAGTGTTGTCCCTCGTACAGTAATGAGATAGTACGATGTGTGACTAGTACCCTATAACGTTACTTTCAGATTTCATCAGTAGCATTCATTTCCGAACAGAAGATGTCCCGTGTCCTTCTTCTACATATTTTTTCTTTGTCCGGTAAAGCAAACCATCTCTCCCAGCTTTTCGAAGACAGACGATGTAAAGCGTATACTCGATTTGATCGCAAGATGTACAGCAATGGTACAAGTAGTATTCAGCTGTACGGTAACGATGGCAGCTTCAGCTGATTTGATGCAAGTTCTTGTACATACACAAAGTACAGCTATAATACACTGATGGCGTCACAACGAAAAATGGCTAGGGTCTGAAGAAAATAATACTGATCTCCTATAACGCATGGTTTTACGCTAAAAGAATGAGGGATCTTCAAGCGCGGCTAGAAGAAGTTGAGAATTTTGTTTTCGCGTGCATTATTCCATTCTGTACTCATAGTGCTGCTGTCATATTCACCAAGTTGTAGATATGTGATTTTCATATCATTAGGAGGTCCCTAAATTTAGCTTCCAAATTAATTGGTTTGCCAGACTCAGATTTTGTAATGCTTGTAGCCAAATTTTCTGCCGGAAGTACATATGGTCGCGAAGATCCTGAAAAACCCAACTCATCTACTGCACGACAGTCTTGTCGGTGTCAGTGATAAAGTGTATCAACCAGATCATCCTATCATCCTATTTCAGTATGTCTTCTCGAACCAAACTCTTCAGAAAATCCATTGTCCCAGCTTCAGCGCAAGCTCTCAGGAACCCGGAGGCTGTGTCTCAGGACTACCTGGCTATGCTCAATGTAAAATTGTTGTTTTGCCATAGTTTTAGACTCACCTGCCTGTGATATCTTCCAAAATTTTTCCAACTACTTTCCACATATCTTATTTATTACCTATTTATTTGATGCTGCATATTCATTCCGCTCGGATTGCACTGAAAAATTGGGTCTGCTGGGAACCCTTTCAATCAATAAATTTTCAACTTTTCAGCGTCAAATGATTGTACTTATGGCACGCGATCAGAGTTAAAATTCAGGAGAAGCTGAGAATGACTACTCAAAAAGTAGCGTTGAATCTGATCCTGGTGGAGAACAGTTTTCACCTCTACTGATGGCTTTCTCCTGGCGATCAGATGTGCATTGAGTAAACTTGACTTGAACAAATGGGAAGATCAGTTGGTTTCTCCCTAATTCCGAAAAAATCGATTTATCAGGTACGTGCTAGCAAAGACCCGTGATCCAAGTCAGCCATTTTATCTATCAGAATTAACCATTAATAATGCAAGTCAAGATCCTGTCATTTTTTGGTCATATGGAAACAACGCTAAACGAATGAGAAACACTTACCGTATGATGAAAGCTACGCCGCATGCGATGACAATCAAAAGAACAACGATTGCTGTTACAAATGCAACCATAACGTCTAAGAATAACCAAGTATGTAAGATAAACACATGCAACGAACAAACTCACTCGTCTGAGATTGGCCGGGTGGCGCATCGTTAGGCATCATTGACATAGGCAGGCTGGACAGATCTGAATTGCACAAATAATGTCATCAAATTTGCAAATGAGCGGTTGCTACGTGCTGACGCGCGAAGACGCTCCGTTGCGTGCAATGGAAAATTTTTATCATTGTACTTGATTTAGTCGAAAAAAACACACCGTCATGTTAGCCACACACGCATGCGATAAAACACATGGAATCCTTTATGATCATAATGTATTGTACCAAGAATGCCATATATTGTATCACCTTATTTAATGTAATCTCTTGTACCCTTATATCCATTTCACTATGTTCCCTTTGAACCTAGTACAGACTACTCTTAAATTCATCGGTCAGATTTTAAGTGAAATGATCGATCAGTTAGACCCATTTCTGGGAAAATATCACTGTTCGATATTATCATCCCTCGCTAGTTGACCATTTCAGAGATGTTCATGATTTCCCCTAACAGCTAGAGTGATTGCATCTCGCCTTGCTTTAAAAGGCATGCTACTACACACTTCTGTTTTTCCTTCCTTTTAAAACTTTTATAAGAGCTTCATACCGTTTCCTAGATTCTTAATATCTCTCGTTAATCACATTGTCAGTAATACTGAAAATGAAATCCTGTCACAAACTCAGTTCGCCTTATGCATCAGAAACCTCACCTATATAGATTAATGGCTGTAAAATCGGCAATACCTACTAACTTCCGTAGAATAAGCAAATCTGTGTTAACT